GAGGATTAGCTCAAGGCTCATAGTGGTGTTAATGAGGGAGGAACAGACGCTGCTTCTCACTGTGAGCGTCACAGTGAGACTACAGCTGGTAAAGACTGAGTCACACAAACAGGTCATCCCTCACATTTCCAGCAAATCAATCCAAGCTATGAACCTTACAGGCATCCTCATAGCCTCCCAGTAAAGAAGGAAAAAAACAGCAGTCACTGAAATAAGCTGAAATTGACAAAAGTAATAATAAATAATAATTAAATGAAAATCATGACGTTGCTTTTGAATTGTGGTTCAACAGAAATATTTAAAAAAATGCAAATTATTCTTTTCAACCACAATTCAAAAGCAATGTCGTATTTCACGAAATTATAATTTAGCAAATTTTTATTTATTATTACTTTTTTCAGTTTCTACTTATTTCAGTGACTATTGTGAGTTTTGCCTTTTCTTTAATGGAAGGGGATGAATACATTTAAGGACGACAGAGTCTCATGAAGACAAACAACCGAAGATCTGCAGCTTGGACACATAAATGAATCTGTAAACAGTAAAATATGCTCATGAATAAATATTAGTGTAGCTGCTGCTCATTCTCCACTTACTGCCTAAAGAAAGTTTAACAGGTTAATGGAAGTTTTGAAATGTTTGCAGGCGCCTCTTGAACGCCGACATTTTCGGAGGTGACACAAGCTTTGAAAGAAGAGATGCAACCCGTCATTTTCTTTTTACCGGTGAAATAATAACAGCGAAAGACATTAATGGAATAAATTTAAATTTACAGCCAAAGTGAAAACTGTGTTAGGAACAAATTAGGCGAAATTCATGTTGTGATGTCAAAGGTTTTTTTTTCCTATTTAGTTCTCAACGTCTGAGTTACTTGGTGTAAAAAAAAAAACCCAAAATATTCATCTTCTGATATCAAACTGTTTTATTAGACATTGACCTTCCATCCTCTGACCTCGCTGTGCCGTTCAAATTCACACTTCATGTATCACCGTCTGACATCAGCATCAGTCAGCATGAACTCTCCTGCCGAGCCGCCACAAGTAAGACTCAGAACAGTTCTGTTAAGATGCGAAATCAGCCTCAAGTGAGGACTGCTTTTGACTGGGATTTTTGTTTTGATTTCACATCTTGATAAATTTTGGCTCGAGAACAGTTGGAACATTAATAAATAACCACTGGAGCCGAGACCGGAGCTCTAAAACAGAGGGACGTTTCTGATCATCGTGATTTCTGCACATCGTTATGATCTTCATTATTTGCGGCTTTTGTGTGTATGTATAATATAATTTAAACTATCTCGCTTAACTTACAGAAAAATAAAGTCACATCTTGACAAAGAGAACACATTTGCAGCCAAGTATTAATGTGACAACTGAAGCGAGTCTTCGGTCCCTTTGTGGCGCCGAACGTACATGGATAAATCACTCAGTGCTTTCGTCAGTTACTGTATCGCCGTACCTTCAACTTTGCATGGGTGCCTGTTGAAGAATGGTAGAAATGAAGCTGGTGTCTAAATTAATTACATTTGACAAAGCCTTGGAGGTCTTCCAGGAACTTGATGTATTCTTGATGCTCCACGGCGGTGCTCAGCTCGATCAGCTCATCTGCGAAGGTGTTGTCGACCCCGCGGTCGGCCAGGAAGTCCATCAGGTGGTCGTACAGCGCCTGGAGAGCAGCAGCATCGTGAGCACAGCTACCCTCGGCTTATCATGTGTAGTGAATCAGTGATGTTGCTGTTGATCGTCTCAGCTCTTACCCAGTCCAGAGAGTCTGTGTTGAGTGTGTAGCTGGTCTCCTTCCACTCTGAGTCTCCCTCTGGCTGGAAGCTGACCTCCCGAATGGCAAAGATATCGCTCTCCTCTTCGCCTTCTCCGTGACTCATCTACAAAACGCAAACCCAGCTTGTCTGTTTAACTCAAACAATTAGCTGAGAGGTCCCTCAGAGACACACTGCTGCTGCTGTTTAACATATTACACGTCTCTGGATGTCACAACAACCGACGGTTTAATGTCAAGCTGACACCAAATCTTTGAAAGCAATTATTTTCTAGCCTGCAGCTCTCACAGTAGATTGGGATTTCTCTGGTACGGTGGAGCAACAGGTCTTACACCTTAAAAGTTTGGCATGGAGATATTTGGTATTCATGTTACGGACCCCCAAAAGTCCAACTGCAAACAGAAGAAACCCCTCAAACCGATCTAAGCAGCTTGACGACAGACAACCAGATGTGTACACAGAAATTAAACTGACACAGGTTCAGTTGGTACTTTATATTCACATCCAGAGAGTTTACTCTTACTGTGTTTATGTTAGCATGCAGTGTGCAGCAGTTTCTGTGGTGTCCCTCATGGTCTCTTTTTTACATGCTAAGCCAGAAGAACAGGTGCTAACTATATGCAGAGGCTCAGCAAATGACAAAATCCCACATCAGAGTCTTCACAACTTAACCGGACGAGTGAGTTTTATTACACAGTGTGGTTTGTATTAAATACTTAAAGCAGGGGTCTCAAACTTGTGGCCCCTGGGCCAATTGAGGCCTGTGGGATGATATTTCGTGGCCCCCTGCTTGACATGTAATGTTAGTGTGGCCCACGCATTTCTCTCACACCCCTACGCGTTTTCTAGTTTTTATCACTTGCTGGCTACCATAGCTCAGGCTCATGACAATAATGCGAATTAGCAACGTTAGTCACTTGAGATTTATTTGGGAGTGTCACCGAGTGGAGGGAAAATACATCCTGTCACCCAGTGCAAATGTGTTTTTTTTGTTGTTGTTGTTTTCTGTCTGTGTGAAAAGCTCTTCTCCACCATGAACTTTAATCAGTCAAAGTGCACTGATGAGCATCTTCAAGCCATACTGAGGGTCTCGATTGCTTCCTCCCTCAAGCCAAATGTGGCTCAGCTGTGTAAGAGGAAGCGCTGCCAGGTCTCTGGCAGCAAGGAGTAGGTAGGAGAAGCCTGTGTTCTGAAGAAGCTTTCATGTTCTGAATTGTTATTAATAAAGAGAAGATTGGATCAGTTGTACTTTTGTTTTGGAATACTTGAAACCCCCTTTTTTTTGAATGCTTGAAACCCTTTTTTGAGGAACACTTGATGCGGCCCAGCCTCACCCAGACTCTACCTCCAGCATCCCTCGGGTAAGTTGAGTTTGAGACCCCTGACTTAAAGGCTTCTGTCCAGTTCTTTTGTATTTCTGACTTTTTATACATACAGTCTTCAGTTAAGAGACTAATAAAAAAGTTGATTGTTTATGATTATTTGGCAGAACAGCCTTTCAAATAACAGTAATGTTGTTTATTCTTTTATTAGTCAAAGGGTCCATGCTAAGGCTTTTCCAATTAAAGAGTTGATGCTAAAATACATTCATTTCCATTTGTGTATTTTATGTTGTGGTATCAAAACTGGTACAGAGAGTCACAGAACTTTAGTGGCATTGGTAAAGCACTACCAGGTTTAAGTTAGCCTATGATACATGTTCACGTAAGACCTGTAGTGTTTATTTTTTTACCTCGTCTTCAGGGAAGTGGCAGTCGAACACCAGGGAATGTTTGGCGGCCTGTTTTGTTACTTCAACAACAAAGTTGGGCGTCGAAACAATTTCTGGCTGTAAAGAGAAACAGAAGTGATTTAATATTTAACATTTAACAGCTTTAATCAGTCAAGCCTGTGGGCCGATACGCTGCTCATGCTTTTAAAAACCCTTATTTTACGATTGCATTTCGTGTGGCTCACCTCTTCTTCTGCTGATTTCTGCTGTCCCTGCTCTGGTTCCTCCTCAAAGTTAGGAGGAATGCTGTTGTTGATGTTGAATGTGATCGTGATTCTGTGAAGAGAAGACACACCTGTGAGCTCATTCTGTCCACAATCACTGAGCAATCAGGGCAGCCGTGCTTTCAAGATTCAAACATGGGTTTTTCTGGGATAATATTGATCATTAGTAATCACAGTAATGGCTCCTAAAACCAATATACGTTAACAGTAAAAATTAAAATCAAGTGTCAAAGTTGAGAAAGACCCAAAGTCGAGAGGCTGTTACTCAAAATCCACAACCAATCAGACGGAGGTGAGGGTGGGACATTGCTGAAGACCCCAAACTGACTACAGAGAGCTAAAGCACCACATTTTCACATTATTTTACGTTTCCAGGAGTCTGATAACAACAATAAAGAAATGCTCGTTGACTTACTTTTCTCCAGAAACATTTCTTGAGAGCTTAGCTTCTGTGCCGTTCATCTCCAGCTCCCATCCCCCAGACATCTTGGGAAGAGTTTTGCCTTTCTGGATTTTCTTCTCTTCTTTGATTTCATCAGACAGAAAGTCTCCAAACGCTTTGTCACCTGAAGGAAACACGACACAGGTTACATGGCTTCACCGTGGGAGGTCACCACACACTGCACATGGTGCTGCTGGGCTTTGGTTTGAATGAAATGAAAAATAATTTATTTATCCCAGAAGGGAAATTCAATGGTTTGATCGTGTTCATTTTTCACAACTGAAATAAGCTAAACTTTTTCCAACATGTTATACACAATATGGTGATTGACTTTGACTAAACCTAAAGGGTACCTGCAGTTGTTAAAATTTGAATATTATAATACAGCTGCTCTACATCATGTGTCATGAGTCTAGAAATGACTCATTTTTCAGCCTCAGAGTGGATGCTAACTGAGTGGTATCACGTGTTAAAAAATATCACAGAATTAGGCCTTCTACTAACAACAATTACTGGTATTGTTATTAACTTCAATGCCATCCTTGTGCTCATGGTTAGCTGGTGCAACAGTCCTTCTAGAAACACACTCCTGATCTGTCAAGGTGAAGTCTTCACACTGAGAAGATGCTGAGTGCTGACTTCACATTAGACAGGGTAATGAGACAAATTACTTGTTTAACAGCGACTTAACGGTTTATATAAACGAAAAAAAAACAAAGTCTATGTTTAACTGACTGTTTAATTGTAGGTCTTGTCTGTACAGCTAACGTCAAGCTAGCTCTCATTAGCTAGCCGGCTAGCTTGTCCAAAACCGTATAAAATGAACCGTGGTCACCTTCTGTGTGCAGTCCTCCACATCCACACGACACCGACGGGCACAGAACCTTGGAGGTGAACAGTTTGGGTCTGTATCCTGACGAGTTGTTGTTCAGCATCCACAGGGACCGGGTGAAGGGCCGAGTTATTGCCGGGCTAGGAGAGCGCAGCGTCGGGCAGCCGAGCGGCAGAGCTCGGGCTGTGGAGGTGGTGGCCGAAGAGAAGCGGACAGCGGTCCCCACCGCACGAACTACTGACTTTAGCATGACTGTATGAAATAATTAAGATTACCGTAACAGAATAAATTAGTTTCCCGACACACAGCAAAGTGCGAGTCTCCCACTTACTGCTGCTTCCAGACGTTACAGACAAACACGTGTGGAAGGACACATTGACCTACCGTCACTATGACCTCCGCACCGGAAACAGAACCGGGAAAGCGAAAGACATTTTAAAAAAACTTTTGTATTAGAATTTAAAAAAAAAAAAAATAATACAACGTACATTTATTTAATATCAATAATGGACCGAATCCACCATTATTATTTTAAAAAAATATGCTTTTAAAAAATGTTGAATTATTATTGTGGATGACAGCGCCCCCTGTGGCTCAAATGTGTATGACTGATATTTGTAGTTTTGCCCTAAGTAATGATTGAAAGGTTTGGTTCTTTCTCCCTCTGAATCAACAGCTCCACTCCATTTCTCCCTGCATATGATAGAAAATAAGTGCAACATCTGTCAACAAGAGACAAGACAAAGAGGAAATGGGAATAAAAATCAGCATCATCACACCAGCGACAGGCTGTCAGTGTCTGATAAAATCACATTTGTTCCTGCTCGATCTGCTGCAAGATCAAATCTGTGAACATCAGTCTGGGCTACAGAGGACCGTCAGTGTCATTCTGGAGGAGGGAGTTGCATCAGTCCCAGTAAAATAAGTTCATCAGTTGCATCATGTAGACATGGAGGCCTGCTGCCAGAGGATGGCGCTGTTTCCCAACATGCTGCAAATATGATTTGAATCCAGCCAAGTCACCAGTGTGGCACATTTAAAACAACACTCAATGAGTCCTTTCCAATAGAGAAACAAGATTCATGAAACAAATGCTGTTGCCTTAGGTTTAAATGTTTAGACCCTGCAAATTTATTTTTATTCAAACTGATCTGATCATTTTAAAAATCATGGTTAATGTTGTTTAGTTTTTATACTATCTCAGCTTTCTTGCCTTAGGTTTTTGAGTTTTTCTGCTCTCGCTTTCCTCTCTTTCTCATCTGTATCACCAGTTGAATTAGTGCATTTGGCAAATTTGCTTGCCGTATGTGCGGTGCTTGTGTTGCTTTTTTGAACATTGCTTGACCTTTTTTGGTGTGTTTTATTGTTTGCAGTAGTTTCCTGCTCCTTTCTTCTTGTGTTTTTTTTGATTTTTTTTAGTTTTGCTTCCTTTTTTTTTCTTTATTCGCCTTTTTTGTCAGCTTTTTTCTCGCTTGGGTTCGCTTTTTTGCATTTTTTAAAATGTTGTTTGTGTTTGTTTTCGTTTTCGTTCTCATTTGTTCGTTAAAATATGAAGCAGGTAATGATTTGATGGTTTTTCATGTGGTTATTATCTATCATGTTCCAGATCTATTACACAGAGAATATTGAAGTGAAGTGTACAAAATAAACGATAAAAATTCCATCACAAATCATAGTATTACAATAATTTAACCCAAAGTCCCTCAGTTCCAGTATACAAACTACAAAGTTAGACTCCTTGTGAATGAATACTTGCCTACAGTGGAGGAAGAACTCCCTTTAAACTAGTCGAGACTCGCAGCGGAACCAAGCTCGGGGAGGGTGGCTGTCTGTCAGGGAATTAAAACTACCAGACTGTTGGATCAGCAGGTGTTCAGGTACATTATGCTTTTGACAGATTACCTCAAGAACACACTGTTCTTTTCAAATAAGTGACATAAAAGCCCATATATGGAGTTATGATTGTGTCTCAACCAAACAGATGTGAATTTCCATGTGCCTCATTGAAACTCGTTTTCTTAAACAGGTGGTTGTAGGTTTTTATTAGAAATTATAACAAGTGTGGTTATATAAGACTATAACAAATCGTATACTCATCAAAGGCGTGCATTTGATCTTATAAACGACATGCAAGCATGTAAAGTACATGCAGATCTTAAATGGTGCACTTATAAACCACATGGGCCAGATGATTTCTAAGAGCTTCAGTGACAGAAAATACAGCAAAGTCTAACAGTTCTCTCTACAGCAACCTCGGATGCGTTTGATTGCAAAGTAAGAAACTCTTCATGTAATTTATTCTGTTTATAATTTACAGTCCTGAGTCCAGTGTAGAAAAAGACAAGAGGAGCATCCATCCGATTCCTCGACACGACGTGACTTACATTCTACAAAGTGTGGAGGACCTGAGCGATCAGATCGTTGACTATAATCTCCATGCATCGCATACGTCTGCTGTCAGTATACATGTGTGGTTGGCGTGTGTTGGGGCCGAGCAAAGATCTGTGCGACACACAACAGCAAAGAGCAGAACCCGGAGAATAAGGCATGCTGCTTCTCCTGACGTGCACGTTATGTGGAGAAGGACACGGCTGTAGATGGGAAAACTAAGAGCATGCACAAGCTAACCAGCCAAGTGCTGCGATGTAGACTAGTGAACTGAAATTACATCACTGTGATGTGAAAATAGAAGATTTTAAATTGAACTTTGGTGTTTTTCTCGTCAGACAAATCTACTGTCTTTGCATATAGAAAAGCTTTTCAGATCCGTTTGTGTAAACTCCCAACTACGTGGTGGCAAAGTTTAAGACAACGACTGCTTTTCTTGGAGAAAAGCTCATATTTTTGGAGGCAGTCCTCACTATAATTCATAATGAATTTGAAAAAAAACAGCCACTATCCAGTCAGCTGTAGCGCTGCTCGGCAGGTGGCTTAACAAGTAAAGTACAATATTTTGTAAAATGAACACATGAAGATCTTAAAGTCCTGTGCTGACTGTGCTCCAGTGAAGTTACTGTTAAAATGCATGCAAACGCTGAAAGAACTGAAGCACGACGCCTTAAAAAGAATCTCCCGTTTAGGTGTCAGACGTGGCCGAACGTTGAGATGAAACGCTGTCAGGCAGAAGAAGTTCAGCTTATAAAATCTGAATGAGTCTGGAGTTGTGAGGCCTCAATATGCAGATTTCTGCTGCAGTGACACATGCCAGATGCTCGTCAACTGGGAGGTAGTGGAATCCAGAGAAATGTTCTGTTCTGGCTTGCAATAAAAGTGCCTTAATCCAAAGAGTACACTGTGTTTTTGTGGCAGGCGTCCTGTTTCTCCATTGGTTAGCTCTTCGTGAGGTGGAGCTTGCGGCCAAAGTACTCTGGCGCCGCGTCCAGCAGCCAGTCGGCGTCGACCAAACACAGGTCTCTCATGTAGCAGCGGGACGTGTGCAGCAGCTCATTGAACACCACGTACGCTGGCTTGGCCTGGAAAAGGACGGAGGAGGGGTGGATGGACACGGGCTGGTGGGTGTCCAGAGCCAAATAGCTGCCGTCGTGCTGCAGCTCCGCAGCGTTGATGAACATCCCGTGGGCGAGGCAGCGGCGGACGTTCCCCGTCTCCGCCCCGCACGACTCCAGCTTCAGATTCAGCTGTTAAGACGACAAGGTAGTTTCGTCATCAGTAAGTAATGAGCTGCTGTGATCCAAAACAAATGGCAGTAAGGGAATCTCCTACAACATAAAGACACTGTCGGATATTTTATTAAGCAAAGCTGCACTTTACACAACAATAATAAGTCATTATGCCTGCAAACGGAGCTCATGATGGGAAGTAAATGCAAAGTTAGAGACCAGTTCCTTCCAGTTGATATGCTTAATAAATTGATTCCTTCACACAGGCTGCAACTTACCCATCTGAAGCCTATAAGTACCCAATCAGTGACTGTTGACCACACAGACTGAAAGGCAGTGTGGCTGCACTCACACAGGCACCTTTGCTTTATTCTTTCATGAATCGCTGCCACAGTATTTAACTGTGAAACCACACAGAACTCTCACATTCACACTGTTTTTTATTGATTGTAGCAGATGTGTACCTTAAGGCAGATTTCTCTGAGCTGAGCCTGGACCTCTTTCACCAGACCCATGTTCCTGCCGTTGACAAAGTTCTCCCGACACCACTCCTGTACCGGCAGACATACAGCAGGTCATCAGGTAGCTCAGCAGCAGTTATTTTTGCAGCTTTCAGTTACATGACAGTCTCTTCGCTCCCCTGCTGATCCAGCCGTACCTACCTTGTTACCGCTGACTTTCTTGAACGCTCTGTAAATGTTGAGCAGCGTCATGTGGTCTCCTTCGCTGGAAGTGAACTTCTTGCGTGCAGCGAGCACCTCCTCCCGCCGGGCTGGAGGGTTGTACAGAACCGTGTCCACTGACAGCAGCGACACAATGCTCAAAACCTCCTCGGAACAGGAGTAGTCCGGGGACAACAGGATGGTCTGTGAGACAAAGCAAACAAGGCAGGGAAGTGTTACACCACACTATGCACACGCTCTGTGATTTGCACGAGAGCCAGGTGGCACTGTGGGCTACAGGCTGTCCCTTCATCTTTGACTGAGTCTACAACTAAAGTTACCACCTTGTGCGCCTCCACCAGGCACTGAAGTTACAGTTTACATCTATGTCTGTCCAGATTCATAATATATGGAGTTAGGAATTTAACAGATGGGCACCCAGGGCGAGTGTCACCAAATCAGTGTCCAACAAACTGTGAAATACAGTCATAAAGTCCCTTCTGTTCCTGAGTTATCGTGTTAAATAATGGGCAGAGAAAAACTTTGCCACAGTCAAGTCACCTCATCATTTCATCCAGTTAGACCACTGTGTGAAATTTTGTCATAATTACCAAATTAATTCCTGAATTATGGCTAAAAAAATGTGTTTTTTGAGGTCACAACGATCTTTGACCACCAAAATCTGATACGTTCATCCTTGAGTCCAAGTGAAGAGTTGTGGAAAATGTGAATACTTTTTTTCAGCGCATTCACGAGAATGGACCGATGTAAGAACAAACCAAGCGGCAACCACGTGCCAAAAACTGCTTGAGTGGCCACTTGGGGTTGGCTTCAAAAGCGACTCAATCTTCGTTAAAGCCCGTCTACAAGGGTCCGTACTATGAACAGAGCTGTGTGTCTGTCCACTCTCCACTTTCAAAGCCCTAATTCGTCGTGAACACAGACGCAGAAAGCTTGACTTGGCTCTTAGAGTATAAGCTTGCCGTTTGGTTTTCTCTTCCCCTTCCACTGCCTGCAAGTCAGTGTTTTCAAAATCCCTGCAGTGATGGTAAACAACCTCCGAGCAGCAACCTGCACATTGAAAATGGTACGTTTTTCCAAGGATTTGGATTTTGCAGTAAAGCGATACAAACAGGCCTGGGTATTTATTTCCCCTACAGCAGAATGATAATGTAATATTGTAGAAATAAGGCGAGACCAGTCTCCAGGGCTGACACATCGCCGTGGAGACGGGTCGAGATACGTCAGACTAGTCAAAATGTCCAACTTCACAGCCTGGTGCAAAAAGAGTTCTGTTCTCTACAGATAACTTCCCTGTTCATGACAACTGGACTTTTTTTTCTGCCCTTTTTGCCTTGATCAGTCAGGATAGTGAGAGAGCGAGACAGGAAAGTTGGGAGAACCTGCAGCAAATGACTATGAGCAGGACTCGAACCAATGACTACCGCGTCAGGGACTATAGCCCCTGTTTATGGGTCACCCACTCAACTAGGTGAGCTATAGGGGCGCCCACAGGAGGTATATTTTTAAAAAGCTGTCCCACCTAAACTGTATTTAGGCTCAAAGTTATGCATTATGAAGAGCGTGGCCAATCTGAATGACATGTGGGCGATGTCATGGGTGCCTCAGCTCCACTCACACCAGCTTTTTGCTCATCTTTAACCCTGAGTAAGGAGACGTCAGGCACTGCTGAGTTGGTGATGATTGGATCCACCTCACCAAATGTCAAGACCGCCCCTTCAGAAACCAGTGGACGATGTAATGAAGGGTTAAGTCCATCTCTAGGTTCAGTCAATTCGACAGACAACCAGAAAACATACTGCTTCCTGTTCTGAGGAAAGAGCAGTACCAGCATATCTTACCTTGGCATATCTGGGCTCCAGAGGGAAGCTGGCCATCTTCTTTCCCAGAGCAGTGAGGAAAACCTGCCCCTCCTTCCTCTCCAGAGCTCCCAGCAGCTCCAAGTGCTCCACAGCAGACCGCACGGCCTCTGAGATCAACGTAACATGTTACTATGAGGACGTCACCACCTCCAGGGTGACCACAAACACAATGATTAATGATCAATCATCTCTTACCAGGGGAAGGTTTGGACATGAAATCAAAATTCATCACATCTGGAATGCCCAGAGCCATGAGGTGCAGCATCACACCAGCTAGGTTACACCTGCAGGACACACACACACACAGATGAGAAACACAGCAGAGGAACTGAGCATTCAATCACGCTGACCTGAATACATCAGCATGTAGGTGAGACTCCTGCAGATCGGTACACGCTGCACTGAGCTTCAGCGTCTGCGTGAAGCCAAACACTTTTTTTTCAATTCAATTCAATTTTATGTGTATAGCGCATATTTACAACAACAAGTAATCTCATAGCGCTTCACAAAGGCAGAGACCTCTGGATCTCAGGCACAGTCATGGGGATAAAGTTGTCGAATTCCAGCTCGGTGTAGAGACGATAGCAGGAGCCCGAGTCCTCCCTGCCGGCTCGGCCCGCTCGCTGCCACGCTTGTGCTTTAGAAACCCGCTGCACCGCCAGCACCTCCAGACCGCTGTCTGAGAGTCACACAACAGTTAAAACAGTTAGACGATCCGACACAACAACAACAACAACCGTGTACAGTCATGTGGAAAGCTAAGCTGGAAAGTGTCGACTTTCTCAATGTGTCTGAACAAGCAGACATTTGATCCTCTGTGAAACGATGCATACAAGGTTCATGTAATCAAACAGATGACAGAAAAACAACAGTTTGTGCCATTTTTGTAATTTCAATGCATAATTGTGATAAAAACAGATCAGCCTCATGGAAACAGGAAGTACATGTATGACACCGTTACAGATTCTTTACAGAATAATTAGAATCCCTTTTATACACCTCCTACTGTCAGTGATGGAAGAAGTGCTCAGATTATTTGTACCAAAGAACTAAAACAGCAAAGTAAAAAATTCAACAACGAGTTAAAGTCCTGCTGTTAAAACACAACTATCACATACAGCAAGGTGGTTTGTTCCAGTAGTTCCCAACCTGATGGTGTCGCTCCTCCAAGAGGTCACAACGTAAATCTAAGATGAATCTAAAAACAAAGCTCTATCTCACAAATCTGCAAATTATGTGGTCCCCAATAGTTGTTTGAATGAAGCTCTATGAGAAGGTTAGAAGGAGAAACTTTCTGGCTGAACAGCCAACAACTCCCCTGACTTTTAGTGAGGAGTTGAAAAACAATGTTTGTTTTTTTCCCACACTAAGAAAGTCGTCTCCATAGCTGCCAGATAAAGAGGAAAAACCTAAGATTTGTCTCTGAAATGTAGAACAGTTAAAGTATTAAGTTACATCACATGTAAATACTTGAGTAAAGTACAAGTACTTAGCTACTTCCCACATGCTGATATGAGAGTTACTGTGTGTGAGGACTGAATAATCTCACCTGGATTGAAGCGTTTGGCCTTCACCATCCCCGTGTCTATGACGTATTTGATCCCAGAGATTGTCACTGACGTCTCAGCGATGTTGGTTGAAAGGATGACCTTCCTGCAGCCCTGAACAAAGTTAGATCGGACAAACATTTTGAGGAGACAACACCAAATGTCTAAAACGGAAAACTTTGTTGAGAGCAGCAGTGCACACAGCTGAGACATCCTGTCCTTTTGTCGGTGCTACTCTGCTGATCTCCTGCGTGTTTGCTGTTGTATTTACCTTGGGAGCTGGCTGGAAGACCCTGAGCTGCTGTGCTGGGGGCAGCGATGCATACAAAGGGATAACTACCATGGGGCCACAGCCATCCGGCAGATGCTTGGCGATGTCCCGGCATGTCCTCGCCAGGGCCTCGATCTCCTCCTGGCCCGTCATGAAGACTAAGATGTCATGGGACGGAGGTGCCTCCTGCACGCAAGCAGTAAGACCGGGTGTCACAAAGAATCATCCCAGTGCACGAGCATGCACCCAGACTGTTTACTCACAGGCCTGTGTTCCTCATGAAGCCGGAGGAAAAGGACTCTAGTGTGTGTTTGGTTTTGATTTGCGCTTGACCTGCTTGAATGTTATTAAGATTGTGTCTTCAGCTGTATGTTGTGCTTCATCCTCTCTACTTTGTAGCTCTTTGAATGTGTTTCTGGCTCTGCAGCTACTGGTCCCAGCAACTCTACCAGTGTCTATGCTCTCTTGTTTGTTGACCCTTTTCTTCCTCCCCTTTAAACTCATCCTGGTCGAGGCAGATGGCCTCCCTCAGCCTGGTTCTCCTGAGGTCTCACCTGTTAAAGTGAGTTTTGCCTCTTCACTGTCAATGATGTGCTCTCTCATTGGGGTTTGTTGGGTTTACCATGAATACTATCTAAACTTTCTTTTTAAAACATAGGCAAATTGATATAACACGTAGCTTTGTAGATTCTTAACCATAATATTT